AAAAAAAAAAAAAGCTATATACCGCGGCATAAACGAGGGGAATACTTGATTCAAATAGTTTATGAAATTGCAATTTGACTTAATATGAAGGCAATGTATTAATGAATTCTTACTGTCGAAAGCTACAATTTATATATGACGATAACTTCTAAGAAGTTGTGTTGCATGTTCAACTCAAATGTTACAGTCGATATAGAATTTATGAAATATACATATATGGAGAGCATTTGCATTTCTTTTATTATTATAATTTTTACATGTGCTGAAGTGTGCAAATATGCCTGAGGTGTCACAGGGATTAAAAAGGAAAAAAAGAAAAGCAACTGTTGAACAAGTAATTTTCAAGAGATCATTAATCTATCCTCCATCTATGCAACATATAGTCTTTATTGTAATGGAAATTTGTTATTACGGTCGTTAAATTTGCCCGTGGATATTTTTTTTTTCTCTTTTTTTTTAGATGCACCGTAAAGCTACAAAGGGAAGAACTATGACTAGAGTAACGCCTTACACGCGATGAATTTATTTAAAGTGTACCTGACTTTAAGAAGGATGTTGAAATATATGGAAAAGGAACATACCGTTCTGTGAATAATATAAGATTTAAGTTTTATAAATATCGGTAATATATATGTTGCAAATGATTATATATTTCAGAACATCTCTTTGGAACCAATGATCATAGATCATTGTAGTTAAAATATCAGAAATAAGAATACACGTATTCTTTCTTTTTTCTTTTTTTTTTTTTTTTTGAAAAATGAAGAAAATTATTCGTTCTCGAAAATTAATGATTATAAATATCATTTCCTTTTTGTTTTTATAATGAAATAATACTACAATGTGTAAAGTGTATTTAATGCTACATAAAGATTAATTATGTACTATTATGTAGGCTTATCAGTGTTATTTTATAGTTATATGGGGCATCTTATTTTGCGCCAAGATGTCAGCGATCGAAAGTTTAAAAAGATTAAATAAAAGAGAAATTTAAACTGATGGATTATACTTGAAAAAGTCCCAAAATTTATTTGTATAAAATTTATTATAACATCTTTTAATAAAATACGCTTTGGAATTAACGACATTAAATTAACGCTGCATTATTGCACTGAACACATATGTTATTTTATAGTGCAAGATTTATCACGTGAAGTACCTTTGAAATTAGTTAAATATTTCCTATTATGTTAAACAATGCCTCCCTTATATAATAATCTAATATGTACAGATATTTATTATTAGGCATTACTTTTTACATAAAAATATCGCAAAAATATGTATCGTTGTAAGATTTCGAGTATGTTACAAGAGAAACGATGTTCAACAACGAGATCAGTCACGCGAATACTAAAACTCTAATTTCTAGTACATTAATATAAAAGTGTATTTGTGTGTTGCGCAAGTAGTATTACGAACCTTTCTACGCAAAATTACACCGATAAAGCTTAAAATCAATCTAAAATATAACAGCAATAGTAATAACAGTTCAATTCTCAAAGTAAACAAAATTCCTCAAAATTGATCAGTTAAGTACTCAAGATAACATTTACAATGAAATTATCACATCCATTCAATTTCATCTATGACAATATGAAAACATATTGCCAAATTATTTATGGATCTTGTCATTAGAGAGATTAGGAGAAAAATAAATGAAAATTTTCTAAGTATTACCATGGAAAGTCCAAAACTTTTCAGTCGCGAATAGTACAAAATATTGACCTGTTTTTAGTGGATCTGCGCAATATGGTCAACAACAGGCAAGTCAATAACAGAACAATTCACCGTCAGTCATTGTACAGTAACAGTCACACAATGGTTGGTGGTTGGAGGACAGCTGGTGCTCGCCTGACTTTCAGCGCTTCTGGACTCATGGCGCGCATCTGTTTCGTAATCTGGTCATAATCATACGTAACAGCCAATCCACCGTCCGAGTTCGTTTTCCTCGCGTATCCTTTACTCTGAGACGAGTTCCCGTTCTTCTGTCTATCTGTCGTTGGTGTATTACTGTAAAACGCATCAGCGGCGATGCTACCTTCCTCCTCTTCGCGACGATATCTTCTGTTCTTCAATCTCAAGCCCGAATAGACGGCGATAGATATCAGAAGAAGAACAAACAACAAGCCAACTGCAGCAGCCGCGGCAATTACTCTCATTTCCGTTGGGTCGCGAATAATCAACTTGATATTGGTGGAGTCTCTGCCCTTTTCGCTTTCTACTAGGAGGGTGTATATCCTAGCGTCCTCGATTTGGAGATCCTTGATCACTAGCTTCGCCCAGTAGCAATTCGTAGGCATATCGTCTTCGTTGATGTGCTCTAACGACAGTGCTTCATATTTTGGGTGAATGCTCTCGCCTAGATAGGAGAATGGAATATTCAATGTATAAAATTCAACACAGTAAAAATATAAGTATTCTTTCGAAAGAGATCAGTCAGTTTCAGTAGTAGTTTTCCTAGAAGAGTTGACAAATTCAGTAAATTTCATTTTCAATCTGTTTTGTGATACTCGCCAGCTCTGATATGCGAACTTCCCCATTGCCAAGCAACGAGCCTGGGCGGCGGTCTCGAGCAGAAGCGAGACTTCAATGTGTGTTCCGGTTCGCCAGCCCATCCCAACGACTCGTAAATGCCCTTTCCACCGGAAGAAGAAGGCCTCGCCTGTATCTCAGGCGGTCCGGTTACGTGGAGCACGTAACGAGCCTCGCTAGGCATTTCTCTTCGCACTCCGTTGATCACGTTGAACGCCACGCATCGATATTCCCCCTCGTCGGACCACATCACGTTCTCCAAACGCAGGCGTTTGCCACCGTCCTTCGTCTGCAGCGGATTTTCGATGGTCTCTGTGATGCCACCGCGGACGTGTATCCAACGGTATTGAGCTGGAGGATTCGCCTCAAAATCTGTACACTCGAAGGGTTCCAAGCTTGTGCCAAGCAGAGTCGTTTCCTCGTACTTTTGCACGGTGTCATTGCGAGTTGGATCCTCTGGTTTCAATTTCGGACCATCTGGAAACCGAGGGATAGTCTTTTATCCTTTGTAATTCAAACATTATCATAAAATCATCGATACGTCTCTATTGTTAATGTCGACGAAATTAGGGAGAGAATTATTTCGAAGGAAAACAGGTAGTTTATAAAAGAAGCCACGAAGAGAAACCCAATAACTATTGCTTAAAGCAAGCCATAACTGTGCCGCTAATAAATGACAAATGGAACGTTCATGTCAATGAGCACACAATTGCCATTATTCTCTCTAACCGTTCCTCTGTCTGAAGAGCGGTTGGTATACAAAGCGCAGCGCACAGTTAGGCGAGGAAAGTGGCCAAATTGACGTACTCTCGTCGTTGATCACGGTGGTTGTTGTAAAGGGGGAAGGGAGGAGGGCAAAGAGAAAAAAAGAGAAAGAAAGATATCACGGTAAAAGTCGGACTAACATTGTACGTCTAGTCTGTAGTTAGCCGCGGTGCTTTCACCGATAGCGTTGACCGCCTTGCAAGAATAGAGACCGGCGTCGTTTCTCTTGACCGGCTCGAATCTCAACTCGGAGCCGGTCATCGTGCCGTTCTGCTGCGTTCTGTTTAGCATCAACGCCACCACGTTGCTTGTTACCACGATGGGAGCTGAATCCTTGAACCACTTGATCGTTCCGCTGGGATTGCCGTCTGCGAAGCATTTCAGGCTCATAAAGCTGGCCGAATCTTCCAAAGCTGCCACCAGCAGCCGAGGTTTCGTCTCTAGTCTCACTTCCGGCGAGTCTGAAATTTGACACGTGATTTAGCAACGAAGTTGGCATCGTTTAAGAATTAATATAACTTTCTAAAATGCTGCCTTTGTAGATCGGAATCTTTTGACAACGAGTTTTTATAACATAATTTCATGTTAGAAAGTTTGTATCTCAAATAATTATTAGTGTTTAGGTATCCATTTCTATTGGAATTCAATATACAAAACTTTTCAGATGAACTTTTACATAGACTTTTAGAGACCAATCTTTGAAGATTCCACGTTGAAACTTTTGAAACGAAATAATAGAAATAGATATTGAATCGTTTCTCCAACTCCGATCGTTAGAAACTCGAATCCTCGTTCGACACTATAGATTTCTATTTTATGTGGAAGGGAAGATTATCGTCTGGGTATATCCACTTGTAAGGTGGACAAAAATGAAGTGCAGCGTGAATTGCAAAATACGATTGTTTCCATTCTGCATCGATAGAAACCTGTCTATAGCGAGTTGTACAAAAGTACACGATATATACATACAATGTACATCCAGTCGTGTTTCCGCAGAGGCTGGAACGATGCTGGATGGATGCATCGTGATACATCGAATCGGCAGACCATGGTTCTCCCTTTGTCCACGGACCCGGAGGAGGCTGTGGGCTGCCCAGGTCTTTGGACTATCCACTTCTGTCGCATTTGTCTGCTCTCTCAATGGTTCCACTTCATCTCCTCCTATGTACCTATATAAAAAAAATGTACTTCTTAATAATAAACATAATATTCTGCATGCACAATTTTAGCACTAACAAATTAATATTTTAACGCTAATAAAATAATATTCAAAATTAATGTAAACTATAAAATGATTAAATTTGATTTTAATATTAAACAGAAAAACAAGTGCCAAAGATTAATGAGTAACAATTGTTTTTTCTTTTTCTATCTTCATAGATTAACTGCCAAGATCCAAGATGTTCTGAAAGTGAGTCAAGGATGTTCTCATATACTGATGAAGAATGAATGATACATTCATAGTGATATAACTGGAACTCAGCTTGTATTTTAATGTACCAAAAAAAAAAAAAAAAAGAAAAAAAATCTCTAAAGTTTCTAGTAAAATTTCTACAATTGCAAGTGATAAATATCTTCACCACATGATCTAATCGCAACAGCTGCTACACCCAGGTTTCCGTGAAGCGATTTAGCAATTTCCCACGAATACCGATATTCAAGGTTTATAGTTTACACTCTTTCTAGTATGATTCACTGGGCGACTATGCCCAGCGGCCAGTTTCTCCACTTCTACGGCCGCAATCTGCATAATTGCGCTTACTACTGAATCTTCAGCGTAACGGAAGAGCGCAGAAGAAGAGACAGAGAGCAAAGGGGAAAAAATCTGAGGAACGACGAACTATTCAGACAGCGTGCCTATTAAAGATTGTAAGAAGAACTTGCTGGCCTCGGCTCGCTTACAACGTGGCTGATACAGTTTCTATACGAACCTAAGTTCCAAGTGTGAAATTAGGAACTGTTCTGGCTCTTTTCGTTCTACATTCAATTTGTATACGTAACAGAAAAAAAAAAAATTATGTATACGCGAGTGAAATTCATTGTTCCCTACGAGCGGTTCTTTTGCGGCCAGGCTGATGTCAGTCAGAGAGATACAGAAAGGTACCATGCAATGAGCCGTGACGCGCGAAGACCATAAATTGTCTGGAGCGAAAATTTAATCAGAATAGAAACTTTTTACTAGCTAAACGATTTTCTATCTTTGAGATATTTCTTGTTTCACGAAATGATCTTCAGTAAAGAGAGAAATTTTTTTTTTTCCCCCTCTATTGAAAAAGAACATTGAATTCCGTGAAAAATCAAACGGATCGAATCTGATTCACGGACAATTACCAGTGAAACCTGTCCACCGGCTCGTACAACTTCCTCGTCCATCTAAATCGTTCGCGCTTTCTAACTAACCGATAGAGGACCTATGACGATGAGATTTATCCTCATCACGAGAGAATATTCTTTCTATTTTTTACAGATGCAGTATGACAAGTCTCAAACACCTAAATAATGAACTATCTTCAAATCTGGAAGTCACACAAGCTTCTAAAAGGAACGACATTAATTTCTATTAAAATATCGCTGTACTCTGAAGACACAAAATGAAAGTGGAGATTTCAATTTGAAGATCAGATTGCAAGGTCCGGCGGGTGTGTTTCCATTCTGCAACACGTGCTGCCAGGCGATCGTGGAAATTGTAACGCCGCTCATGCGAACGTGATGATCGGTGGAGAAGTGAGTTTTATGTTATAAGAATTTAGATGAGGTGTGGCTAGCTGGTCGCTAGACCATGACATGAAAAAAAGACGCTGCTGGCTAACCTCTCCACTCCGCATAAACACCGCGTTATGGCTTCTTGCCT